AACACATGCGCACATCCTCTTTGCTCTATATTCGCGTGAATTTCTCGGCATTTCAGTAAGATATCAGACAGATTTATAGTTAGAAATGAAATTTTTTTCAGTTATTCACGAACCGAAATTTCTGTTTGTTCGTGTTCGGTTCGAACAAGCAAAATATTGTTCGTGTTCGTTTTATGTTCGATTCGAATTGTTTGAATCAAAAGAAAATCGTTCGTGTTCGTGAGCAGCTCTAGTGTAAACCAACTGTATGAATATTCGGAACGAGAGAAATGATAGATTTTAAATTAAAGAGAAAAGAATTCTGTATCAATTAATAGTGTTCACACAACGGAGCAATCGATATTCACACTTGCCGAAGCAAAAATAGCATTAGCGTATGCAATAAAATTCTAAGATTTAAATTGTTCATGTATTGATCCAAAGAGAATGAAATGAATGGTGAGAGTATATTTTCAAATTTATTTCTTCTGATTTTCAACGATTACGTTTTAAATTGTCCAGAGATGGCAGGCAAAACTAAGGTAGTGAATATTCCCGCTATTAGTGTTGGTTCATTTTGAAGTTTGTTATTGTAAACAAACCGCCGTTCACAATTTCACCATGTCATCAAATATGAATCTTTGCTTCGTTCGATGTTACAAACTGATGCCGGTTGCACATTCACATTGATCTGAGCATTTGGAAAGGCAAGTCATTTGTTGTGAATACTGTTCGATTTATAGTGATTGTTTTTTTCGTTTTTCGTTCAAATTAAGTAATTTAGTCAGGGTTTAGTGAAAATTGTGCGCAATTTCTCATGAATTTGTTCAATTTTTTTTATTTAATAGTTATTCATCATGGCCCGTGGAGCCTGTGGAGCTCGCGGTGGAAGCGATGAGAGGTTCACAACAGTGAAACTGGGTCTACGAAAGATCATCCAAGAACCGTATCAGCTGATTTTGACAACAGTGATTGGGGAAATGATCAACATGGCAACGCTACAGGTGAGCGGAATAAGAGAGTATAATTCATACTCCTACTCCTACTCCCATACAACCGGAAAATGAATATGTCTCGACATACTCTAATACTCATAGATACTCTTTGAGTATGAGAGTATATACTCAGAGTATATACTCTTTGATTTTGCGAGCGGCTTCAAAACAGCTTGTAATACGAGTAAAAATTGCAAATAATGAGTGTGAGCGAAACAGCATAAGATTTCGATGCTCGATTGTCTTCCATATAGGCCAATTCAATTGAATATAATATTATTAAATATTTACGCATGGAAATATCTCGAAAACGGCTGGGTAAATCGGCAAAACGGACCGTGGTGTCACTCCCGAAGGGAGTGTAAACACCCGGCTGGTTTAACGGCCTAGAATACAAATCCGGTGGAATTTCAGCTGATCGATGGATTCTCAGGATTTGACCTGATTCTAGCACTTCAGTTTCTTTGCGTTGTGGTAAAATTCCATACAAAACATAGGGAATATGACTTTACAGATGCACATAAAAAAGGAAGCACTGGAACCTGGTCAAATCCTGAGAATCCATGGATCAGCTGAAATTTCGCCGGATTTGTATTCTAGGCCATCAAACCAGTTGTTAACACTCCCTTCGGGATCGACACCACGGTCCATTTTGCCGATTTACCCAGCCGTTTTCGAGATATTTCCATGTGTAAATATTTAATAATATTATATTCTATTGAATTGGCCTATATGGAAAACAATCGAGCGCCGAAAACTTATGCTGTTTCGCTCACACTCATTATGTGCAATTTTTACTCGTATTACAAGCTATTTTGAAGCCGCTCGCAAAATCAAAGAGTATATACTCTGAGTATATACTCTCATACTCAAAGAGTATCTATGAGTATGAGAGTATGTCGAGACATACTCATTTTCAAAATGAGTGAGTATGAGAGTATATACTCGCGAATTGGCCCACCTGTAGGCAACGCTAATCTCACTCCTGGCATCGCTCTATTTTCTATATCTGGTAAGTTTTTTTTTTACATTTTCACTCTTTTCGCCATTTTGTACGACCATCTTGAACCGATTCGATTCATCCAAATTGAACAAAAAAAAAACCATTGTTTTTGTTAGGTTAATACGGCGGTCGATGATTTCAACAACGACTTTTTCAACTCCGATGGCGATGAAATCATCAAAATGTGCTTCCAAGGTGTGCTCCGGCAAAACTACACCAATGATCGAATGTTTATGGTCCCAGGTTTCCGGCAAATGGTTATCAACATTCTCGGCGAATGGTTTCCATGGCCAACGAACAGATTTTTCGGCAATACATTCAAATACCTGTACGAACAATATGCAAAAAACGTGCAAATCAACCTCAAAACGCATTGCGAACAGCGTTTGAGAAAGTTCTTCAAAATGCGTTGCTACGAATTGAACCACATGTGTCTGTGTGGAGATCTCGAGTTGGACGAATTATTCGATGGTGACGACATCAAAAATGCCATCAACTACATATACAAACAAGAGATTCAACGCGTGGCAATGCAAATGCCATACGGAAATTGGAAATACTTTTGGCGGAGCTGTATTGGATTGGAGCACCTTACAGACCAGATGATCCACACCCATTCAACATCAGAGAATTCGTTGAACTCAATTGGTTCCAAGCATTGCGCATGTTCGTTAATATACAGCGCGATATTCATAACTTTCACCTCTCGTTTGCCAATCTACGCCAAAGTTGGAATCTGTTCCGAAAATATCCGCTCTATGTGCAACAGCCAGAATTTCCAGAGCCGCCTGAAATCACCACCTTCACAGTCATTCCGAAGTGCACATTCCAGCGCCGACACGTGAAAATTGATACGAATGCATTGTACAATATTTTATGTGGCGTCAAGGCCAGAGAAGATGGTTTTCGACCGGATGAATTTAAAAGAATTGGAAGCTGGCGTTCGTATTTCAACATGGACGAAATCAACAAGCTGGTCAAGAATAAGAAGGAATTCGGCGATTCGATAATATCAGATGGTGTGTCAGCGTCGGTGTTCAAATTGCCGAAACAGAGCAAAACTGTTGCTGATGAAGAAGAGGCCGAAACCAAACGAAAATATTTCGCAAACGAATTCGCGTATGCATTGGGAATTGATCCAGGCATGCGAACCTTTATTGCGTCGGTCCGCCTCGATCTAAAGACCGGCGAAGAGGTAAGTATTTACAAACCGAAAAAAGGAAGAAGAAGAAGAAGAAGAAGTATTAATTCACTCGTGTTGCAATTTATTTTCAGACCAACGAGAAGATTTCGTTCAAACAATACCATCAGAAATCGAAACAAGATGCGCGCAACATTAAAGCAGAACGAATGACACGGGTCTTCACGTATGACGAACAAGCGGACCTCAAGCATATCGCCGCAGAGATTGGCCAGACACCATCGCCACGGAACATCTCTTGGTGCCAGTACATCGAACATCGCTTGCGAATGTCCCAATATGGTATCGCGGCATACAGTCAGAAAAACTATGCACGCTTACGTTTGGACAAACACATTGAATGGCGTCGTGCAATTGATCTCATCGCCGGTAAGCTGGTACATTTTAAGACAGCTATCATCAACATCGGAGCAGCCGAAATTTCACCAAATTACCCGATCCGGATCAGGCGTTCGCAAGCTGATTGCAGCCTTCAAAAGACGTGGCAATTGTTTCGTTCGGTTGGTGGATGAATACATGACATCGCAACATTGTGCCCGATGTTTCAAACGGTTCCCGATATGGACGAAGAGCAAACGATACAAGAAGTGCAACGATTGCCAATCAGATGAACGTGTTGGACTTCCGAGAACCATCTATACGAACGTGAGCAAACGAGTGTTACAAATGCAACGGAAAATCATGCGTACATGGGAGGAAATGCGCGACCAAGGATATGCTATTGCAGCCATTCTAACCCAACGAAATTCAGGACGTTTGGTGTCAAAGAAGCAACGCTTCTTCAAATCCTGGCAACCAAATGCTGCTGAAAACGCTGGAACAGAAGACGCTGCACAATCACGCAAGTTGCTCAAATCACTTTGGCATCGGGACATATCAGCAGCCAAACTGATCATGTACAAAGGTTCATTATCTATTAATATTTCATTTGAAAATTGGATTCGATTTGGTTTTCGCTTAAATTAATTGTTATTTGTGTGCTTGTTTTCTATTTACTTAGGTCTTTGCACGCTGCTTGACATTCCGATACATCCAGCATTGCTGCGACGACCAGATGACGACGGCGTTCCACTCAATCCATAATTCAAAATCCAGCGTTTAGCATTAAAGTTTTTTTTAACAAATATTTTCTAATAGTTTATTAGAGTTCTCAAGCCTTGCACTTAGTGGGCTATTTTAAGGTTTATAAGGTGTCTAACTTTATTTGCCGCAGTACATGAGTGGTTTTATAGACGTTATTTGATGATCAGAATGGGTTATATTCATTTTCCGGTTTGACAATGTCGCCGCATTCTTTGGATATGATTTGTTCAATGCATCATATCACGGTAAGTAGAATTTGTTCAACGCTTCGGAGCGAGAGTTATTCAGACATTTGAATGGAAAAGCAGTCTTTTTGCTTCGGGAGGTGTGAATATCGATTGCTCCGTTGTGTGAACACCACTAATTGATACAGAATTTTTTCCTCTTTAATTTAAAATCTACCATTTTTCTTTTTCAGGTTATGAAAAACACCCAAAACCAACTGTATGAATATCCACTCTTTTTGAAATAAAACATATATTTCGGAAAGCAACTCAGCATCTATCAAATTCAAACATTTGGAATGACATCCATTCCAACCACTCTGCGTCAACCGAACTGTAAACAAACTTTTTACAAGAATTTCGATTTGCGTATTGCTTTCACATTTGGCGCGTGAGTTAGAAAGAAAACGCAAAATAGACACTTCTCTTTCATTGCATACAACGCAACGCAACACAATAGACTCATTTGTTATTGGGGTTTGTATTCGTTTACTTTGATTCCGTTATGATATTTTATTGAGTTTCTACATTGACACCAGTTGAACATGAATATCACCACGAGAATGAATTTGGCGCATTAACATATTGAAATTGACATCGGTTGAGGAAAGTTGTAACAACCAGACCTTGAACTGATTTGTGTGTGCGATATCTATGTCCAACTAACCATATTCAGCTGTCAAATGGATGCCGGTTGATTCATTTTTATTCGAGCATTTGAAAGGGCAAGTCAATTGTTGTGAATATTGTTCGATTTATAGTGATTGTCTTTTTTCTTTTTTGTTCAAATAATTAGTTAAAAGTCCCATTCCGTAGATAGTGTTGACTTCAAACGTTCGTTCGTTCGACATGATCAAAACAAGGTCCCGTCGCTCCGCTCCGCTCTTATTTTGTCTCATATATATTATTTTCAGTTCTCACTTTCAGAATAAAACTGTTTTTGTTTGCAGCTTCGGGAAGTGTCATCGCAAGTCCATCCGCGACAAAAATATTATCAATCAACTCAGAATTCTGAAATCCAAGGTTTAAATTTTCCCATCCGCTCGATAGAGCCTCCATAGATTGAATCAAAAGAGTTTTTCAAAAGAGAATCTTTCAAAAGAATCTTTGCGAAAATTTTCAATATTCTGCTACAAATTACGGCTTTAAACTACACTAATCAACGGTGTTTTTGCGCGAGCAAAACGGACCATACTACGTTGTAGAGGACCTTCCCCTGATCTCAAAACCATATTCCGTTTATCTGGGTTACGGTACGACTTAGTGCATTTTGGTTTTATGTAGGTTTTTTCTAAAAATCGACGTTCTCTGTACACATCGGAGGCTGTAACTTTTTTCTTAGACTAGCTAGCACCAAAAATAAAATGGTTCTGAATAGTGGAAGGAAATACCTTTCAAACGCGCTATAGACCATTAGATTCAGTGCAGTGGTTAGAATTTTATAAACGATAAATGTGAGGTGTGAACGTTGAAACTAGTCGACTTCATCACCTGCCGAATTGAATATACTCAAAATTGCGAATGATTTTTGCCAGTTTCAAATTTTTATCGTAAAGAGCATTGAATTTAGATAAATTTTGCTATAGTCAGATCTATCGTATGACCAATAATAAGAAAGTCACAGCCGTACATAGGCGTTGACGAACGGTAAAAATCAAGAAAAATCAAAATTAAATGCAAGCCAATAACCATTTTCTGAATATCCAGTGATCATGAAACTTTGGGAATCTAATTTTTTCATCAATAACCGATGCCAAGCTAAATTTGAAGTCAATCTGATGGAAAATTAGGGTACCTCCCATACAAAAGTTTCGAATTTCATCTTTGAAATGACAATTTTTGTATGGGAGGTACCTTTATTACTTAACCGATTGACTTTAAATTTAGTGAGCGTTCATTTTTCGTCCAAAAACTGAGACTCGTAAAATATGAAGCCAATCAGTTAAGAAATAAAGTCGTAATTTTGAGTATGCATCCGGTTATTCAGGTTTTACCCCCCTCTAGGATTCCAAAATGTGGACCCCCCCAGCGATTTGAAAATTTTACACTAGATATAATCGATTTTCAAAAGTGAGGACCTTTTTTTAGGTCTTCATTTTTTTTCACACCCATTCATAAATTTGCAGACCCCCATTTATAAATGTGACCCCTCCCCCTGGCAAAATCATTTTACCCCCCTAGAATTTTTGACCTTGCACACATCTGATGAAGCCCCTAGGATTTGAATAATTTGACACCCAATTTTCAGATCACTACTTGGTTACTTCTATCATCTGTAGGCCAATAAGATTGTTCTGCGTGAAGAACTCAAAAATATCAAAAATACCAATTTTCGGTAGATTTCTCGGACTTTTCTCCACTCACTCCTGAAACTTGGAAATACAACTCGATAAAACCACTGCCAAACTATTCTATTGCGACTTTGTGGTCGTTACAATTAATCGCCAGAAATCGCAATTTTTCTCCAGAGAATCATTTCAGCATAGATATTCAATTTTTTGATGAGATCTCAGTAACTGAATGCAGTGACTGCGAACGTCTCTGTGAGTAAACGAAGGCTCTACATTCAAGCGCGAACAATCATATACATTGGTTTACACATAATCGGAGTGAGTGTGCGTGCGAAAGAAGAGAAGAGAGGAGTGACGAAGGAAATGTGTTGCATCGAGCGATGCAAATGAATGTCCACTTGACACAGTGTCAGTGTTGCGAATACTCACTCTTTGTTTCTTGGAATTGTTGTTCCTTCTTATTTTTCTTCTAACAAATTGCTTGGCAGCACAAACACAAGCAAAAAAAATCACATTCAAAAAATAAACAAAACAATATTTGATTATTTTGTTGTTGTGTTTAGTTATAGAATTTTATTTTTTTTTACTTGTGTTTGTGCTGCCAACCAATTTGTTAGAAGAAAAAGAAGAAGGAACAACAATTCCAATAAATAAAGAGTAAGTATTCGCCACACTCACACTGTATCAAGAGACGTTCACTCTCATCGTTCAATGCGACATATTTCGTTCGTCTCTCTTCTCTTTCCTACCTTCGCACGAGCACTCACTCCGATTGTGTGTAATCCAATGTATATGCATGTCCGCGCTTGAATGTAGAGCGTTCGTTTACTCACAGCGACGTTCGTAGTCACTGCATTCAGTTACCGAGATCTCATCAGAAAATTGAATATCTATGCTGAAATGATTCTCTGTTTTTGTCCAATTTTTTATATTACTTTTCCGCAAACTTTGTTTGTATGGAAAAGTATTGGTTTTACTACCCAAAATTTCGTGACTCCTTCTCATTCGGACGAAAAAAACTCCACGAAAAACTTCGAATAGCTCATAACTGTACACAAGGCAATGTAGATGGGAACAAATCGTATCGATCAAGACCTATCTGCCCTCAACAGTGTTTGAATTTTCCAATCCGCTCGATAGAGCCTCCATAGATTGAATCGAAAGAGTTTTTCAAAAGAGACTCTTTCAACAGAATCTTTGCAAAAATTTTCAATATTCTGTTTCAAATTACGGCTGTTAAACAATATTCAAATAATAGGTTTTGATTTATATTTTAATACTATGAAGAAAAAAAAACAAAAAAAATTATTTATTTTAATTTTTATTGAAATAATTGATTCCGTTCGATCCATATTTTGACAATAGTCGTGCACCGATTTGTGACATTTCACCATTCGCTGCAACTTCATGCCATACTTGGTATATATACGATTGTCAAAATGATCGTTTTAATGAAATCAATTATTTCAATAAAATTTAAAATAAATATTTGTTTTTAGTTTTTTCTCTCCATAGCATTAACATATAAATAAAAACCTACCTTTTGAATATAGTTTACAGCTGTAATTTTTAACAGAATATTGAAAATTTTTGCAAAGATTCTTTTGAAAGAGTCTCTTTTGAAAAACTCTTTCGATTATTATTATTATTATTATTATTACCCCGATTACTCAAAAAAAGTTTTCCAACATAAAAAAAGTAAATACACTACATTAAACTACATAAAATCTACAATTGAAATCGCCCTACCCGAAGTCATTTCGGCAAATCTACCAAGATTTGAATATTTATCTTCTTACGACATTTTTGTCTTACCATGGTTAGACTGGTCCAGGTCTTACCACCTGGTTTCTGGCGATTTCCCATATATAAAAGTGTCATTCATGAACAAAATTCCAAAAATTTCAAGATATGTCGATTTTGGACCAAATTTATGGCCAAGTGGGTATTTGATTGTTCACAGACCCCCATTATTTTCGCAAAATAATGGCATTTTGTCCTGACCAAAACCCTAAAAAATGCTTGTTTTGAGTACTTCCTATACAAATGTACCATTTTTTCGAGGTTTTTCTTGGGGGAGGCACGTCAGAATGGGTAAAATTTTAATGGTTTCTAAGTCTCAACATACCAAAAATTTTGTCCTTTTACAGTTTGCAATTATCTAACTTTTTGAGATATAGTGTTAACAAAAAACGCCATACGCACATCGCTATTTTGCAAATTTTTCATAATAAGCAACATATTTTTGAGGGCAGATAGGTCTTGATCGATAGGATTTGTTCCCATCTACATTGCCTTGTGTACAGTTATGAGCTATTCGAAGTTTTTCGTGGAGTTTTTGTCGTCCGAATGAGAAGGAGTCACGAAATTTTGGGTAGTAAAACCAATACATTTCCATACAAACAAAGTTTGCGGAAAAGTGATATAAAAAAGATGCAATAGTTTGCAGTAAACATGAACGATCTGAGTCACAACTTTTGTTTCGCAGCGCTTGAAGTGAGCTGTCAGACGCATATATGCAGTACCTGTGCCGTATCGCTACAATATGATGTTGACAAAATGGAATCGAAAACAGTTATTAAAAATCAGTTTTTTTCGATTTTCGAACTCTGAAAAACGCGAATTCTAGCGTAATTTTAGGGTCGTAGGGTAGGTGCGTGGTACACTGTACGTTGTACGCAAAAAATACGGCAAAAAATATGCTATGTTGGAATGTATGTAGAAAAGTCAGTATTGGAAAAAAGTAAAAGTTAAATAATAATTGAAAGTAAAATAATAATAAATTTCCTCTTGAAACGCTCGTTAGTTGTCACAGGGATGTCATATCTTGAATAATATAAGTTTAATTTTGTGTCTATATCAATTTTATTGAGAAATTTTATTTTTTCCGTACTAAACAATATCTATGTTAAGAAAAATGGTTTTAAAGTTTCTTCGCTCCCAACTTCAGAGGACCTCGTGCAACTCTCCTGGCTTCT